AAAACCATTCATTTTTAAAAGAGCAGTTTTCTCACAGAGTATTTAAACACTTTTGTTCATGACAAGTCCAAGTAGAACAAGTTTTTCACTTTATTAATAGTTACATTTTGGTGATGTATGATCAATTACTGCTATCCCCAGGATTAGTCAGATCGGATGGCTTCTAGCTAACAGTTCCTCTTGTTACCAGTCTTCTCACTCAGCTAGGCTAAACATCTCGTGACACTGCAGCTGCAGGTCGTGTTTGGTTTTGGAAATTTAGTAAATTGATTTTTTCAAGCAGCAGTTAAACACAGTGTGTTGTTTTGCTTCTCTGCAGACTATAAAAGATGTGCTCGTCTCCTGATTCAACTGGCCAAGAGCCCTCGCTGTTCAGAGAGATAAACAGACAAATGGTAAGACCGACAACTGCATAGATTTTTTAACTTTTATGGCTATTCATACTACACCACAGTAATCAACTAACAGAAAAGCAATTAAATAACAGGAAAATTTGTTACTTCTGGGTTTTTTCTTTACCTCTGTCACGATTGTGCTCATGATGTGATTTCTGTAAGATTAAGTTTTTATGATCAAAGTATAACTTTAGCTATGGCAAAGCATCAGCCTTCCACTTCTAATCTTATTTTCCTTTGCTTGAACACCTGCCTTGAAGTAACTTTCTAATTAAAAAGGGCTTCACTTTCTTTTTGCATACTGGACTATTGTCATTAATGACATTTTGATCTATAGTTGACTTAGATGAAGGTCAGATCTCATTTGATCAGGAAATAAAGCGTTCATTTCTTGCAGCTATGCCTCATGATAAATGTTTAAATTGTCAATACTCCTTTTCTTACATTTCGATCTGAACCCCAAAGGCAGGAAATAGCAGTTAGAGGAAATATATACAGGTCAAAGTTTAAAGCTGGTAGAAGCAGTAATGAATAGATGTTATTGATGAACCGTGAGGTTAAAGTCTGATGACAGAAACCTACCAGGGAAGCTGATCGTTCCCAAGGCTAAAGAAAGAGAAAATGTTTGTTGTTTGTTGATGCACTCAAGAAGACAGACTAAAACGCAGTATTAACAGCATTATGTGAAATCACTAAGGGTGCAAAGCACCGGGCAAGCTTCCAGTGAGCATCCATTTCAGTGCAGACCACAAGACCACAGAAGAAGAACATAAACAGCCCCAACACAATGTGACCATTGTTAGGCTTATATCTAGCACCCAAATAACTACAGAGATAAGTTCAGACAGAGTTTAACACAAAATGACCCTGAGACTAGCAGAAGTCTGTAGAATATGAGGAATCAAGAGAACCTAAAAAATCGTTAAGAAGCCTTAAAATAAGAGAACTTTGATCAGATGGTAATATTTCAGAGCCCTGAGAGCTATAGAACTGGTAAATATGGATAAGACAAAAGTAAAGTAAAGTATTAAAAACAGAGACAATCAAGGAAAACATGACAAGAAGTTGTTTAAAAATGGATTTCAATTAAACAACCACATGTTAATGGCGTTGTGACTACAAGTTGGAAATCATTACTGTATAGACAGTAGAACTTATAGCACAGACCTGCATACTGGTTACACTTGCTGACGATCAGTTAGTGAGGTTCTATTTAGCTAATTTGAAGACTTAGCAAGGGCTAGATTTTTTAATTATGTCCTTTTATGTAAAACGTTAGAACTGACGGAGGCCAATTAGAATCAAAAAGGATAATACGTTTTAAAGCAGTCCTTTGAAACCATCATCTATGGTAACCATGTAAGTAGTCAGGCATAAGACCTTAGGGAATCATCTAAACAAGAATTTAGTGACCAGTATTGAGATCCAGTGTATCTTTGTATTGATTGTACATGTAGAACATTAAAGTAAGACAGATATCATTGCAAGGCTTTATGGTGACGGGACCAGACGGAAACCATTTGTCTCCAATGCTGATACTTAAGGTAAATGAACAGGTACTCATTTAGCACTTTTCTACTCTACCTGAGCAATCAAATTTATTAAGTTATTCATTCAAAAAATCATACTTAATATCACACTATTCAAATATTTCATTAGGCCCAATCTTTATGGCTCTTTCCTTTCAATGGCAGCAGTGCCTTAGGCAGTGAGACTTTTATATCAGCTGATGCCAAATAGCTCATGGTGATTTGTTAACACACCAACAGTGTTGGTTCTAACAAATGGAAAAGCTTAACAATTTGTACCACTCAGGAAAAAGTGAGCTACTGGTAGTGTTGATTAATTTTCAGAATCAAATGTTCCTTTTGAATAAAATATTAATTTGTCTTAACAAAATTAAAATATTCATTGACAGGCATATTTTTCACTAATGGATAAGTTTTAATGCGGAAGTAGCGGATGCATTATTTCAGATGGTCAGCAGGGGGCAGCAACTCTGGACTTCTAAACAACTATTATTGTTTAGAAGTCTATGAGAAAATAAGTCAATGACTCCCTTGGCTTATTGATCTCCTTTATGATAGAACCAGTCTGTAAAGCCTGTAGGTGCACCCTACAATAATACCTGTAAAGCCCAGTGTCAGAAAGGGCCTGTAGAACCTGTTAAATGTGACGTTTTCAGACTTTTTTCAAAAAATTGTTATAGTTTTGAATAAGTAGAATCTGCTAAGTTTAATATCTACATCTAATAAAATCAAGCAGAACCTGTAAAACTTGAATTAAAAAATCTTTTGTAACGTGTGGAACCTGTATAACCAGCAAGATATTATTTGGAGCCTGTACGACCTGTACTTGTACTATAGACCACACAGAACCACAAGTTCTACAGAGCCTGTCTAACTGACTCATACTAAAAACTAAAAGCCTGGATATTTTTTCCCCCTTTGTTTAATTTATAAAGTCAATATAGTACAGTTACTTGAACATGTAACAACCGTGAGCCCCTGAAAAACAATTTGCAGTACTGTGATGGACTGAGCAGCGAAGGAAACTTAGGCACAGGTTAAAGTCCAAAAAAAAGATTTTTATTTAATCCAAAAACATAATTGGTTAAATCATGCAAAAAGAATCAAAATCTTGGGCCCATAAAAGAGGTTAAAATAACAGAACTCAAAGTTAACAAACCATACTGATAACTCAAACAAACTGACCTCACTTAACGAGACAAAGGGGAAACTTAAATAGTGGCTGATCAGCCCACAAAAACACAGAGGGGTAAAACACACAAAACCTAACTGGAACTAACATAATGAACTCCAATTCCCCCCCATGGCCCCGAGTTATGGAATGAGCTAATTTGCAGTCTTGCATCAAAGCCCGCTCCACCCCTTTTCCACCTCTTGGGTCCTCAATCAAGGGACTGGAGCAGCTGCAACTACGGTAACTCAGAAAACAAAGATTAAATCATACATAACAGTGTAAACTAAAATGTGCGCACTTCTTATAGAATGCACTGTTATGTGGACATGTGAATTAATTCTAAACCAAAACCAGTTATTTGTTGTCCTGTAAATTAAGTCCTATTTAAAGACAAATGTGAATGCAATATATAAGCCTCTACACTAACATGGTGGATATTACCACTGTGTGGCTGTACATGCAGCCATCACAAGTACCTTTTATCTGTGCTTATTCTGAATCCTCTTCTTCAGTATTCATCTTAGCAAAAGTTTTTTCTACTCGTTCGTGTCTTTCTTCCACAGGCTCTGGACATGAAGTTTTGGCATACCAGGGTGCAGCAAGAAGGTTCATCCTCTCTGTTGACCAGCAGCAGGAAAAGTTATAAACAAACCTCTGAAAATCTGCTGGAGCCAGTGAGCTCAGCCGACTTGATCCACAATTGGAAATCAAAATGATTGTTTTCTATTTTATTCGATTCAGCTGTTTATCTCCAACAACCATTCACCTTGTATACACACTACAGACAGGTGTAAATTTTCTATGACAGGATTTTTGGACTTTTTCGAGCAAAACCTTGAGTTTTGTTCAACTTTGTGTAGACTCATCTCGGCATTCGTCGAATCATTTTTGCCTTTTTTTACCTCTACTCTGTTCTTTGGTCGATTCCTGCTGTACTGGACAACCTCAGACACTCTACTGGTTTATAACAGAGCTATTTGGACATGGAACTGAGAGACAAAACTTACCTGGGACAAAATGTCTTCTTCAGTGTTTGGTGACTTTTTTTGGACAAAGGGCCAAGGTTTGACCTTCTATTTGAAGACGCAGGGGGAAACAAAATGGACTAAACCTCTGAGTGGATGCTGAATGTGTTTTATGTGACATCATACATAATAATTACTTATAATTAAAGTAATAATATTCCATATATTTATATTGTTAAAGCTGCAGCCCAGTGTGCAATATGTAAATACAGAAAAAGGATTAAAGATAATCATTTGATATATATCCATGCTCGTGTGAGATTTCATTTTTGCTTCATTTT